ACAATCCCAAAGGGTAATTAGGCCATTTAAGGCAAGATAAGCACCCTTGGAAGACTGGATCTCAGATATAATAAATACTGATTCTCATGACCATGATGATGCTTGGAGAGGAGAGTTGATTTACAGAGGTTTGAAGAAAAATCAAAATGTCAAGTATTTCAATTGTGGCAAACAAGATCATAAAAAAGGGATTGTAAACAGGGCATTCCTATGCCTAATTTAAACAGAATGCCCCATTCCTTCTGGATTATGCAGAAGGTATACCAAAGGCAATCAATGAACTAATGAATGTACATCAAGAAGGGATAGCCAAGGTAACCCTTTGCCATCAGGAAACAACTTGAGGGGCTTCTCCCAGAATAAAAGGGTAGATTATTGAATATATTTTAAACCAAAACAAGCAACTACTAGTATTAAAATTTTCACATTGATGTAGATTTTTATATTGATACAAATTTAAGATTATTTTTGTTAGAACATACTGTACTCATGTTCTATTCTTGTTCAAGCTATTGCAACTATACTCCTGATTTAACAATGTAATGCATTTTTAACCCTTTAAAGTTATTGTTACCAACAATTTACAATAATAAATTATGATAATAAATTAGTCACCTATTACAATCAAACTTGGAGTCATATTACATATGTTTTCAAGGTCAAACAGAGATATATTTTAGATAGACAGTTCATCTGAAAACACTTCGGAGACCTACAGAATATGACATTTAAATTGTTCTTTTTTATGACAATGAGACATGTCTACTCCTGGCAGCACCAATCTACTTCAGGGAAGAGACCCTTGCACATACTTTATCAGTCCCTGACCTTCCTAACAGCCATTTTTATTTTTAAAAATTATATTTACTTATTTATTTGTTCATTTATGCATGTGTGTATGTGTGTGTATGTGCATGTGTGTACGTATGGGTGTATGTTTATGTGTGTGTGAGATTGGGGTTTCTTTTAGATTTGTCTATTGAAGAAACTCCACAGTAAGTCACTGGACAAGAACATATTCTTGCCTCAACTGCTGACAGCTTGGTGTCCAAACTGGACAAGTAGAACACAAAAGAAAGGACTGCCAAATTTTGTTAAGACAAGGTAGAACAGCCCTCCAGAATATTCTGCTTCACAGAGAATTCTGTCAGATTCTAAGCCTGTAGGCTGGAGATGGATGCCCCAATGTTGTCTAGGAACCTTAGGTGACTATCCAGGCAGCCAACTGTTTCTGTAATTTCTCGCAGTTTTTTTGGAAGTCACCTGCTTGCATTTCCTGCTCACTCAGTTCTTATTATTTCCTTCTCGGGTCTCTGGTGGACTTGAAGACTTTATAGTTATAGTGACAGTTTTTCCTCATTACCTGATTCTGAAAAGAAATTCACTAAAGAGGTGTAAAGTGTATAAGGTTGAGAGACATTAAAGGATGGTTTTGCAATGCAAATTAAGATAGAAGGTGAATTAGGTACAACCTTTGGATTCACCAAGGTATGATAGACAATGGAGTTTTTTCCCTGACTTTGTCAAATGCAAATGGATTAGATGTCATTGATGTATGTGCTACCTGTATATGTTGTATATAGTTATTGTACTGATTGTATATAGTTCTTCTTACATTAGTTATAGCCATTTTTTATTTTAGACTAAAAGGGGTAGATGTGGTGATATTTTGTTTGTGCTCTAACAAATATAGCTTGTCTGGAGATCAGAGTACAGAGCTAGCCACTAGTTAATCATAGAGGCCAAGCAGTGGTGGCACAGGCCTTTAATCCTAGCACCTGGGACAAGGAAACAGGAAATGATATGGCCGGGTGGACAGTGGAAGTGATAGGACAGGGAGGAGACAGGAGCTTGCCTCTCTTTTTGGCTGAGAAATTAGGCAGGTAAGGTGTGGCTATGGCTTGTTCCTTTTTCTCTCTGCTCTTTTGGCATTTACCCTGATATCTAGCTCTTTTTTTTTTCATTGAGACCAATTATAACTTGTGCTACAATAGAGAGTGTGGGGAGAAACTATGTACCACATATAAGGAGGAGAGTACTGGATATCATCAGTAAAGTCCAAAGGACAGATGACACTCAGTATGATACTATGGTTGACTATCTAGGCCCACACATTGAAACAATGAAAAAATTTAAAGTATAACTTGGATAAAAGAAGAAAAAGAATCCTTTGCTAATGCATAATTAAAGAATTAAAATCAACTTAAATAATTTAAAATTTGCAAGTCTGGAATAGAAAAATCAAAACTTACACTTTTATAAAAACTCTAGTCTGGAATCATAATTCAAAATATTTACAAAACTCAAAAAACAAAACTATTTTAGTATATTCTTAGTGTAAGAGCTATATGACTAAAACTCAGTGATGACAAAAGATAAATGCACCCCACACATTGAGATGTTCTGAGCAGTTCTCTATCTCTGAAATGTGACATAGGCCTGCGATGTCAACATCACTGTGCAACAAATAAAGAAAATGATCATGATCGGGGGAGCCGAGGGGGAAGACCAGCCTCTGGAGACAGGAGCAGCGGGAGGGGAGGGAGAAGAGGGGAGAGAGGGGAACAGAGAGAGAAGGATGGGAGGTGGGCATGGCCCTTTTAAAAGGGAACATAGTGAATATACAGAGGTGGTGCTCTTAGTGGCTGCAAATGAGGGTGTATCCGGTCAGAACCCCCTAGGACAGACCACTACAGATGCCTGAATTCTAATAATAAGAATTATTCTTTCATTCCCCATGTATCTGATTTAACACATGTAAAAATGCTAGAACAATAACTGCCAATCTCGTTCTCAGATGTATGACATCACACACCCTCATGTGACTGGCAGCACTAAGGAATGCTGCCTTCACACTTGTGGTGCCTTGCATGCCTAGGTGGGGCAATGCAGAACTTCTGTGGATGGGTACTCCTCTCAGCCTTCATGGGCCAAGGAAAAAGTGCCAGTTATTGTAATAGGAGAAACAGAACAACATCTCACCAAGAAAATACCCAGACGGCAAGTGGACCTTTATAAATACGGTGACCCGTGTGCTTCACGTCATCCACAGACCGCCATTCTGGTTTTAGGATACACGGAGGAAGTGACATTAAAGACATGGGTAGTCCCCTTTCCCCACACACAGGACAGTCTGGTATGCTCAGCAAGAGAGATACACAGCACTTGGACACTTTGACCCTTCATGCCATCAGATGTACTCAGCAGGGTCTTCCTTTCTGTTCGACAGACACTGGACAGTCTTAAGTGTGGTTTGAGGCAGGACAGGTGCATGTGAAAGAGAGAAAATTTGCCCTCCTCCCTGCAGAATCTGTCCCTTCCATCCAGTGAGTGTGGTTTTCTGTTACATCAGATCACCACTGAAATTCCTGCTTTTGATAAAACACTAAGAGACCATGTCCACAAATGATAATAATACTGCAGTGGTTGCCTAATAATCAAGCTTACTTTCCTTACTGTAATTTTACAAGGCTAAAGCCTCAGTGAGGAACTGTTGTGTCAGCTATTACACCCTGTGTATGATTTTTCTCAGTAACTTCTGAGAAAAATTGACTGTGCCAAAGGATAATTTAAATTGCCTTACATGCCCACAAAATACCTAATATTAGTACCTAAAATTCCCCTAAATCTTTCAGAATGTCATCTGAGTCTCCTCAGATCTAGCTCCAACTGCGTCACTATGACCCTGTATTTGTGTTGCCCCATCTACAAGTCCAGCCCCAGTAATGTCAGTAATGTCTGCAGCCCACGGTAGGTGTGGACCAAACTGTGTGTCATGGACTCTCTCTTCCACAATCTCTGGACGCTAACATCTCATTTCCTTCCTGTACATAATCTGTCTTCCATCTTCTGTCTTTTTCCACTCATTGTATTACCAAAGACAGGAAAAATACCTGTTGGCTATCAGTTTAGAGTAAGATGGTTGTTAGTTTACAACACTAAGAAAGCAGATGCTACCCATAAGGTGGCCACAGAGACTTTTATCTTTTTTCCTGTTTGTGAGCTCTAACTCATGGAGTGCCCTGTCCTGTGTAGCTAATTCACACAGGTAACACTGACTTTTGAGAGGAGATAGTGAGGGTATGGCACATCTATTTTTAAAACAATCATTGTATTCAAGGCACAGCTATCAGATTTGAGGAGTGGAGGACACTCATAACCTCCGTTTAGCATATGGACATTTAAATCACATCAGTGACACTCTTTCCATTTTGCTCATGGAGCTCAGGCTGTTCACAAGAAAAGTCCACATGGAGAGTTGATCACAGACAAAGAACTTTGGAGATTGTCAAAGGTAAGCATGGTTAATGTTACTACACTGCTGGATCTCCACCTCTAATATTAACTAACATCCAACCAAAACAAAGCCCCCCTCCCAAATGGAGGTACAAGCCATGTGTCAGAACACCTGGGTCCAAAGCTGGATGTAAAAACACCCATCCCATGGGGGAAAAATTACAAACCACAGTCAAAAGAGCTTGCATAGTGTCTGGTACATAGTAGGTGTTCAGAAAAAGGAAGTGAGTTTCTTTCTCTTTCCAGTATTTCCTCAAAGCAATTTCTGGCTTATCAAAAAGAGTGGATAAAAGTGTTAAACTGTACATAAAATTAAAATGACATGTCTTTAATAAACTAAGTATAGATACGTTTTTACATTTTGAAACTAAGACGTTTCATGTGACTCCCACTACTCATAATAATTAAGCAAGAGGGAAGCTTGGGTGGACACTACAATGATTACAGAACACTTATCAGGGGCAACATACAATACCATACAACATACAACATACAATACCATAATCAGCGTCATGTGACAGTCTGATGCCAACGGCAACATACAATACCATACTCAGCATCATGTGACAGTCTGATGCCAACGGATTCTGAAGCAGCATAATGAAAATTACTACAGTGAGACCAAAGGCATTTTACTAATATTACACAAATACAACCCTAGTATTGTAAATGATAAGTGTGTCAAGATAATTAATTATACTTACTTGTTTCCAATGTGCAACCTTCCCGTTTATATTAGGCTTGAAAAGGAAGATATCATCCAATATTTTGTCTTCACTTCTTCTACCTATGCAGATCCATTTTGTTTCAAGTACCCTAATCATTTTCTCATGATGCCTTTTATGTGTAAAATAGGGACTGCATATAAGGAAGGAGAAAAAATTATTAATTTTTTACCTAATCAAAACTGCTTATGATTTAACTGTATCTTAGCATTCACGATGATGAGTCTATGGCATTATTTGTTTTTTCCTCATTAGTATTTAAGAACCAAGCTTATGTTCTGACACTCATGATGAGTAAGCAGAGGAATGGATGCTCACCCACCTAACAATAGTGAAGTCCTCATGCCCCGCTCCATGCCGTAAGTGACAGTGGCAGAGCTGGCAGGGCTGGGTGAGAACTGGGAGTCAAGTGATTGGTGGCAAGCCTAGGAGACTCCAGGGAAGTGGCTCACACTGCAGCAGGGGAGTCACTGGGCCTACAGGTTTCTATCTGTCCCAGTTGTGAATATAGAAGTATACATAGCAGTGACAACCTCAGAACATAAGCCACAAAAGAGCTGTCACATTTCTGCTTGCCACACTAACAGGCAAATGTAGAAGTAAATCACATTTAATTTTTAATATATATATATATATAGCATGGCAAAGGAGTAAGTGTTTACTTAAGAAAGCCCCAGTGTCCAATGTAAGGGCAGATACTACTCAAACTACCACCTGCTTACTCTACCTAATCCAGTTCCATAGGAAACAAGTCCAGCTGGGTTGGTGGAACCCTCCAATACTGTCAGGATCCACATCAGGGCTCAGCTTCCTCCAAGACAAGAAGGGTACTAGCCTCATGTCCAAGGCACTGGCCGGTGAGACGGGCTGTATGGGCTAAACTCTTCACCCTCTGTTCCTGCTCTTGGGAAAGCTCCAGCTAGGTGCATCAGGTGCAGAGCCCTGAGTTCTGACTTCTCTTCAGTGACATGTAGGCCAGTGATGCCATAACAGCTAAGGTGGCCAACACAGCTGGGCACCCTGCTTTGGAAGAAGGCTGTCCTTTCATGCCACCTCCCTGCTCTAAGCAAGGGCACACAGGTTTTTCCAGGGATGGGGTCAGAAAGCTGCCTTGACTTCCAAAGTAAAGTAAGCTGACTGGAGAGACTCTACAGGATGTTCAACCTGCAGCTGCTATAGAGAAACAGTGGCACTGAGCCATCAGCAATAGGCTGGGCACTGTCAGAACGTAAAATGCTTCATGGTTCAAGGGAAATGTATACTAGCCGAAACAGTCTAGAAAACCCGTCCAGTAAAGATTAAACCCTGCTGATGGAGAATGTACCCCACTTCTGGTACCAGTTATTAAGATGAATAACTAATACGCTGCCAGTAATGGTCAGGATATCTTAAATAAGCAAATGCCATCGACAGGAAACCAGAGCAATCCGAAGCAGCAGACAAAAGAGAGCCACCATGGGCCTGGGCTATCCCTTTAAACCTTTACCACATCACCTTGACCACACCCTGATGGGTGTGGTTGGACATACATGTATCCAGCCCTTACGAGGCGTGCTTACGGTGTCTCCTTACACCCTGTATGTGGTAGTACAGTGCCATAACCTGTTTCAGTGCATAATTTAAAATGTCCTGACAAAGAAATAATAATTCGAGCTATGCGAAAAGGGACTTGCAACAGAGACATATCTGGAAAGAGTCAGTGGCATTAGCATATCTAGGGGAATAGCATCTGTATATATGAGGAAAGTATGTTTAAAATAGAGATTTTAGTAAGGTGGAATGTAAAAAGAAAATAAGATTCCATTATCAGAAAGCACAATACCAATGAACACATGTCACTAGGGTGAATCAAGAATATATTTGCATTGAAATAAGTATTATGTTAAAAACCCCAAAAAGACTATGGTGAAAGAAACATACCTCAACATAAAGAACATTGTAGGCCAAGCCTTGCCAGTGTAATGCCATATGGGGTGAAGCTCACAGCATCTCTGGGAAAACTTGCTAAATGATGCTTACATACTGTCAATGTACATTGTTATTACCTTTAAGACAAGTCTTTGGTGAGAAAGTCTTAAACCAGAGTAGCTTACAACTCCCATTGTCTCTAATATTGTCACTTAACTCTTCCATATCATTTAAGAACTACTCCCATGTCACTTATGTGTAGACGATTAGTGTGCAGGACAGTGAATACCAGTAAGTTAGGGTTTGGCTTCCATTACAATACAATGGGGTCAATTGCGATCTATTTAATCTGCATCCCTGATAAGGCCTTTCAACTCCTCAGTTATTTTCTTCTTTTTCTCCAGCCAACAGCACCCTAAACTTGACGGTTCAATACTATTCTAGCCTGGGTCTAAACCCTTGGAGTGTTACCAATAGTTCCTTACTTGCTGGGGCACTTACTTTTAATTTCTAAGTTACCATATCTAACCCAGAACAAATGTTTCACGCTTAGCATGAAAGCCTCTTAAGAATTTTAACATTTCAGTTGAGGAAAACTAAATTGATACACTCCTGCCAACATACAAATCATAGAAAAAGTCTCTTTGTGGTTTAAAGCAACCCAAAACACATAGCAAAAAAGCAACAACAATAACCCTTCGCAGAGATTGCAAGAAGGCTTTCTAGATTGCATGCTAGAAGGCTTTCTCTTCATTTTCATTTTAGCATTTACATCAAAGGTCAGAAATTACGTTTTCTACAAATCAAAGAGGAAAACATTTTAAGCCTTTTAGTATGTAGATTGTTTGTATAATTTTATGACAATTGAAAACTCTAAAACCATGCCTCCTCAAATGCAGGCCATGTCAATTTTTGCTGTGCCTTCAACCAGTCAGGTGTGATCAGATCCTGACTGACCTGGCTGGACACACGTGGACACCCACACACATAACACTTCTCCATGTGCCATAGAGACTCGGGGAAGCATAAACACATGTGTACACAGAAATGTAATTCAGATTTAGTCATTATAATACATCCTTGAGACAATAAACTTTAAGCTTATTAAGGTGATGCTAGAATATAGATATACGCACAGCAGCCTGGTTATGAAGAATAAAATATGAAGATGATAGTGCACATATTAGAGTAGACAGCGAACCCCAAATGAGATAATCCACCAAACAACAGGTGTTACAGAATATTCCTTTACACTGTGTGAAGATGTATCACTGTGATAGATTGTATAAAGAGCTAAATACCTAGGTAGGGAGATGTTAGGTGGGACTTCTGAGTATAAAGAGGTCTCTGAGAAGAAGAAAGTTGGAGTCTCCAACCAGATGCAGGGGAAGGAAGACATGCAGAAGGAGAGGTGGAAGCCATGGGCCATGTGAGAACATCCAGATTAATAGAAATGGGATAATTTAATTTATAAGAACTACTTAGAAACAGGCCTAAACTAAGGTCAAGCTTTCATAATTAATAAGTCTCTGTGTCATGATTTGGGAGCTCATGGTCCAAAAACTCCTACTACACATGTGCACAACATGCACCATAGCCATAGGCCTGAGGAAGCTTAAAAATGTACAGAACACAGAGTCAAAAGTGTTATCCTGGTGACTATGGTCTCGTGGGTAGGCTTGGTGACATATGGAAACATGGCTCCCAGCGGCTGCCTGTGTGCTGTAGCCAGACAACAGGACCATACACCAGTGGCAGATAAGCCCTGCACCTTGCTATCTAGCAGAGACTGAACAAAAGAAGAAAATGATACAACCTTCTCTCCCAGGATTTGACCAGAACCTCAATTATCTTAGAGTCCCCTAAAGAAGATGTCACCCTCAGGAAGCAGAAAACATTCTAGAGAACAGGATGCCCACATTCCCAACTGGTCAGGTGGGCAGTTTTTGGTCATTTGGTGTTTTTTTTTTTTGATGTTTTTCATCATTTAGGGGGGTTGCTTATAGATTGTTATTGGTCACAGCCAGGAATAAAGAAAGCTGAACCAAGAAGATCAAATTCAGTGATCTCATTCAAGAAGGGAAAAAGGGAGGATATAATAAAAAGATGGTATAAAAGGTTAGATTATTAAGTCTACTTTTGACCAATCACTAGTCTTGAATATTTTACATTGGTATGGAATTTTGTATAGCTCTAAAATTAAAGATTATTTAACATACTGTAGATCCTTTTCTACTCTTGTTTAAGATATTATACCTATGCAGCTCATTTAAAAATCTAATGTAAAGTTTTAGTCCTTGAAAGCTATTTAGTATAATAAAGAAATACAGGTTAATATTTAGTCATCTATAATAATCAAACTTATAGTCATGTTAGGCACATTTTCATGGTCACACACAGATATCTTTTAGATAGGTCATCTTCAAACACTTCAAAAACTTAACAAAATACGGCATTTTTAATGTTATAAAATAACATAAGGATTTGCATGACAGTGAGACATGTCTGCTCCTAGCAGCACCAATCTACTTCCAAAAAGAATGAAGGGCACCAGAGAACCTCCATATGGAGTTTGCTTCTATGTGGTAAAAGCTGGCTGTTTAGGCAAGAAACTGCTGTTGCCTCAACTGCTGACAGTATGCTGTCAAACTGAACAAAACAGGACACACAAAAAAGCAACTTCCAAACTTTTCCAAGACAAGGTAGGATAGTCCTTCAAAAATTCAAGCTTCACAGAAAAGTCTGTCAGATATTCTAGGCCTTTAGGCCAAAGATGGATGCCCAAATGTTGCAGAGGAACCTTGGGTGACTGTCCAGGCAGCCAAAGTTCCTGTCATTTTTCATAGATTTGGAAGTTTCTTTCTCTGCACTTCCTGTTTACTCAAGTATATCCTTCTTGGGTCTTTGATGGGGTTGAAAACTATATAGTTACAGTTACAGATTCCCTTAGTCATGATAGGAAGTAAATTAGGTGCAAATCTTTGGATTCATCAAGAGAGCATAGATAATGTATTATTTTCTCTGAATTTGCCAAATACAAATGGACTGGACATTGTGAATGTAATTCTTACCTGATAATTATTCTTATAGTTTACAGTTGTATTACATTAGAGTTAAAAACCTTTCCTTTGTATTTAGACAAAAGGGGGAAATGGTGTAAAATATTCCTTTACACTGTGTGAAGATGTGATTGGTTTTATAATGAACTGAATGGCCAATAGCTAGGCAGGAAGAAGTTAGGCAGGACTTCTGGGCAGCGAGAAGTCTTGGGGAAGAGAAGGCTGGAGTCTCCCGCCAGACGCAGAGGAAGCAGGAATGCTGGAGGAGAGGTAGAAGCCATGAGCCACATGAAAGCACAGAGATTAAGAGAAATGCAATAGTCAAAGTTATGAGAGCTCATCAGAAACAAGCCTAAGTTAAGGCAGAACTCTCATAATTAATAATAAGCCTCTGTATCATGCTTTGGAGGCTGGTATTCCAAAATCAGCCTGCTACAGACAGATTGCTAACAACCCACAATGTCACAGGTTTCAGACTGCAGCCAGCTGGCTTTGTTGTTTGGGCCCGACATGAGAATGAGCACCATGGTGCTCAGGACTAGGACCAGGACCCTCACCGTGGTGTCTGGGAAGCAAAGAGCAAGAAGAAACTCATGTCCTCCCAGCCCTTGTGTGTAGCTGTTTTCCCTGAATGGAACATTCCTTACTGGAGTAGGAAGGCTCACAGAACTCCATGGCACAGAAATTTCAGATTAGGGCTTATTGGATTCCAGCCTGAGGCTATACAAGCCATAAGTAACAGTGGCAGAAGAGAGAGCTCTGGTGTGAAGCTGCTTCCAAGTAGAGCTTGGAGCTCCAGGCCCACAGATTTCATGACTGTTACCCATGCCGAGGCGTCTGCGCAGTGGTGGACAGCTCTTGAGTGATGCATGCTGCTGACTCTAAGTGACCTCTGAATGATTGACGATGCCACACTGAGTGACCTCTTCCTTGCTCTGTCAGTGTGCCTCTCTGGTGTGAACAGACAGCTGTGATGGGGGAGTGCTTCTGTATATATTTTTGTTTTATTGGTTGATGAAGAGAGTACTGTTGGCCAATTTTGGAGCAAGATAGGTGGGACTAGGAGGAGAGGAGGATCCTGGGAAATGTAGTAGAGGAGGAGCCACCATGTGATCCTGAGAAGAATGGACGTATGCCACCAGTGTCCTCAATAAGATACGTTTATAAATACACAGATTAATAGTTATGGCTCATAACTAAGACTAATCTCGCAGTAAGAAATCCTAGTCATTGACCAGCAGCATTTGTACCTAATACAAGTCTCTTGTTTGTTATTTTGGGGGTCCTAATGTTTCGGCAGAAGCAGATGGTTGGCGTAAAGACTTATTACACAGTTGCATATATCTCTCCCAAGAACTTGACACAGCACACCCCATCCCATGTATACTACCCTCAATGACCAGCTTGCTTCACAGGCATTTTTTCTCTTTAATTCCACAATCTTCTCAACGCACAAGCTCCTGCAGGGCATTTGAGTGCAAATTCTAGCAATACAGAGTTCTACTGACAGCACCAAACTAGTCTGCCTGTGGTGATAATATGGTCTACCCTAACTGAATTTGATTTTCATTTTACAGATCAGCACAGCATCTACATTAATAATTTTTTTGTCTCCAATGTAACGAAGACCTTGGAGGATGTTATTTGATTATATACTTTCCTGAAAGCTAAGGGGTAAAGTCACATAACTTAGCTTCAGCAAATTCAATGTCTTCTTCCTGAACTCATACTTTCTATAGAATAATCTAAAACCATAAGGACAAACATCTCACTGTATACAGGAACTCTAGTACTTGCCTTTGGCTGTCTGCTGCTTCTGTAACAGAAGGGCCAGACTGATTAACTTGTGAAGAACAGGAGTGTTTCTCTAAGTCCTAGAGGCAAGAAAGCCTAAACTAACTGGTACCACTTAGGAGGGTCTTGTTACTACATTGGCACATAGCTGGGCAAGACATTAAGTTTGATAAAGTTTTCAAAAATTACAATGTAATGGTTATAGGGCCTCCTATTTTACTCCCACTATAAATACAATATATTTTGTTTACCACATTATTATATGCACATAAATGCATTTCATGATATTTACTTGGATACAGAGAATGTGTCTTTAACTTACAAATCATAAATCTCTGACCTCAGCTAAAATCTAATTAATTAAAAACCTAGTATCCTAAAGGCTCTCACCATATGGCGCTGTCTATCAAAGGAACATACAGTGACATAGTGCAGATTATAGCAGCATACAGAATTTTCTAAGATGACTTTTACTTTTATGAAACTGTATTTCTGAAACTATACCTAATACTTTTGCCTATTTTATACACAAGGAATATGCAACCACCTGAAATCAGCTATTTGAATTAACCGATAAACTCTGTCCATGCTTAAATATCAGTTTCCTTAATGGTTACTCTCATAACTACAGGATATTTTATGTATAAAATATTGTTTTCAGGAAACAAAGTATAAATTATGGTAGTTTAAAGAAAAAGAAATTAAAACTAATTAAACAAAAACCCTGACACCTGTAAGACTCTGGGGATATAATAGTGTTTAGTATATATTGTAGGATTAAACTAAAGTATAAAGTCATTGGTAAGTCAGTCAACAGAATTCTCCTGAAGGATGAGTATGCCAGTCCTCAATAAAGGCAGAGAAGAACCCTGTGTGGTGGAATAGCATACAAAATCATTATGGAAAGAATGATCCACTTAACACTGAACCTCTTGACATGGCTTAGGAGCCAGGGTCTCCACTGTCACACAACACACCTGGCTCCTCAATGTTACTCTTCAAATATCATTCATGTCGGAAAGAATCGGAGACCTTGGGGATATTCAATGACAGGAGTGAAAAGACAAAACAGAAGGTACACAGGACTCAGAACATGTGAAACAGAGTGTCAAGATATAGATGGGACACAGCCCTTCTCTTCATAACCACACAGAGCTGAGCAACACAGCAGCCCTCTGATGTGCAGTTCAGATGCCAAGTGCCCATCAAGTTCAAATCTTACCACTGCAAAGATTAAACACAAACTACAAGACCAACTGGAACCCTGTGTATCAAGAGACAATGAAGTAGATGGACCCGGTTCAAATAGGAGCTGCACATTGGTTAACATACATGTCCTAGTGTCTCCTTCCCTATGTCCTCAGTCAAGCTACCAGTCAGGTACAGGCCTCAGCCTGTTTGTTTAAATTAAATGTAGACTTCCCTTCACCTCACCATCCATATACCAGGAACATTCCACTCAAAAAAAATACAAGATCGGTGATAATTCTAGGTTTAGTCTACTTATAGGATTGAAGGGAAGTATATGGTTGTGGTGTGTTTTTGGTTTTGGTTTTGGTTTTTTTTGTTTTTTTTGTTTTTTCAAGATAGGGTTTCTCTGTGGCTTTGGAGGCTGTCCTGGAACTAACTCTTGTAGATGAGGCTGGTCTCAAACTCACAGAGATCTGCCTGCCTCTGCCTCCCAAGTGCTGGGACTAAAGGCATGCATCACCACCACCCAGCTTGGTGTTTTAAAAGAAAACTTTCAAGGAAAATGCAAATATCTTACTGCCAGGAGGCATTCTGCAGGACTAATGCACTGGGGTGGGTAGGGACCCCAGGATGTGGTAATGCCTCTCTTGGTGTTGCTCATTTTCCTGTGTTTTCTCGTCTGTGCATTCACTCTCCCACAGACTGATCCAGAAACAGCTGATCCCAGCTCTCATGGTATCTTCATTTATTGCGTTCATCAATTCCACAAGTATGCATGAGCATTCAAGGGGTCAAACACCATTTTGTTGAACAGAAAACAGATAAAGATGTAGATCCCTGAAAGGCAACATCTTGTATAATATGCAAGGTGAGAGGCATGTGATGTAGAAACTGTCCCTAGGAAATCCGGAGGCACTGGAGGATTTGGAGTTGGTGACTAACCTGATTAGAACTCTACTCTGAGGAGGTTATGCTGTGTGTGGAAAACACATGAATAAAGAAGGAATGAGAAATCCATGGCACATTTTCCACAGAGCTAGATGATGCAGACAGCCCCAGAGAACAATGATAGAGGTTGTTTACGGCAGGATCTAATAAGAAAGTAGTGGCCACTTCTGCTCGGTGTGGCTACATTATTTTCATCCTCTCAATGCCTACAAGCACATACATAGGTGCTGCCATTAGACCCTTGCCTTTATCATTTACAGATGAAGAAATTCTGGCTTGGAGAAGTTATGCAATGTGCCTAATGGAACAGAACTTCAAAGAAAGAGATATCACTTCAGTCTGACCTGAGACAACCTTCCCACAGCACACAGACTCTGCTTACATATGCTGAGATTGTGGGCATGTCCAGTGAACAGGGTTTGATTTCATGTTAAATCAGTATCATAGAATGTCTCATTTCTGTGACAATACACAATCTTGTGGGCATTAACTAAAATATAAAATATAAAATATTCTCTATATATATATATGAATGACAATGACTATGGTTATTTTAAAAGAATTTCAACACAGGTTCTTGGTTGGCAACTTTAAGCTTAATAAAACTATTGTAGTCAAACATTTCAAAAATTGTATTTATTAGTTGTTTTATAGCCAATTGAAAGTACTAACAAAGCCATTCTGATTATGTATCATAATATGGCATTTTTCTAATTGATCTTCATAGAAGTCCATCATAATGTAAATATCATTCTAAGAACAGAGAATACAAAAGTGCAAATTGTTCTAGAACTTACTTCTTATCCTTGACATGTTTATCTCATTTCATCTTACAAATGGTAGAGAAAACGAAACATACCTCAACCGTTTCCTAACTATGAAACCACGTATCCACCTCTGAATAATCAACACTGGTGAATTATGAGCCAAAATCTCATTAATCCTTGAAATCACATGTTTGATATTATTAATTTCATCCTCATAGGTTGAACCCTGTATGGAGAAATTTTATTTAGTAATTTTTATCTTTCATTAAAGATTACCAAAGATATTCAAATAAGTTAATGAAACATTCAGCGAAATCCTGTCAGCATAATAAATAGTAAATATACTTTAATATTGATTAAAATATTAAAATTACTCTTTTCAAATAATTTCAATTTTCTGCACAATATTCCAAGATATTCATTGCTTTCTGCAAGATTCCAGATGGCATCCTCCATCCCAGGCTGTTCTCCAACTCTGGAGACATACATGAAATTGTCACCTTAGCAACCCTCCTCCCTGGGAAGCTGTGGTGTGAACCGGTGCCTAGTTAAACCTGAAGGCGGCCGCTGTTGTGCACCATTGTAAAGGGAGGCACACGTGGAATTCCTGAGCACAACACAACGCCCAGAGCTGTGCAGCTCGGGTGTGGGGTTGGACACGCTCCTGTAGGGACTGACAGTGTCTCTTTGCAAATTCCCAGACTTTGGGGTCACCTGATCACTGACTAGTTAGAAACACAGTCACTTTTACTCGTGTTTAAACTGACGGTACATTAGAAATTAAGGATTTACACTGTTTTAATTATTGCTGTATTCCTAAGAGTGTAAACCAACGCCTATTCAGACCCGACAGAAACATACAGGTTTCCACCTTGGAGAAGCAGTGAGTTGTTGGGTTTATTACAGGAGTGTGGGTGAGGGGTCACTTACAGGAGCACGGATGACTCTAAGGGATCTGCAGCCAGAGCAGGCACCAAGTGTGAGCGACAGATCCTCACAGCTAGAAGCATGGCGCTCACGTGACGACACATGGGTAGAAGCATGGCGCTCACGTGACGACACATGTGTAGACGCATGACGCTCACGTGACGACACATGTGTAGACGCATGACGCTCACGTGACGACACATGTGTAGAAGCATGACGCTCACGTGACGACACATGGGTAGAAGCATGACGCTCACGTGACGACACATGTGTAGACGCATGGCGCTCACGTGACGACACGTGTAGAAGCATGACGCTCACGTGACGACACACGTGTAGACGCATGACGCTGTGTGACGACACATGGGTAGAAGCATGGCGCTCACGTGACGACACGTGTGTAGACGCATGTTGCTCGCATGCTGACACATGGGCATCTCAGCACACCAGAGCGTGTCTTCCAGCCTGGTGTGGGCCTCTGGCAGGCTCCTTGGCTGGCAGAGTCTCCTCCTCAGTCCTCTCGGCTCACACAGCCTGGGGAACCTGGGAAGCGTGTGCGTGTGTGGGCTCTGGGCACTGCCAGAGCATCAATGTGCTTCTCTCTCAGAACACAGAGCCCCCAGCCGTCCCCTAGAGGAAAACACAGCCAGCCACGTCCTGACCTCTGCCAGTCCTGACGCATTCAGAATCCGCTGTTTCTTACCAGATTCTCAATCAGCTTCTTCCCTTCTAGAAGCCGCTTCCCTGAATCACAAAGCTATGCAGATTTCTGCATTCATTTCTGATGATCAAGTTTTTTATTGGGCCATAGTTCACTTTTCCCCCGAGAGTAGTAAAAGACAGAGGAAAGTGAACAACCCCCTGCTAAGTGATACGTGCATCAATTCCAGTTCTCTCCCCCCTGCTGAATAACCACACGCTATTACCAAAACACACATCCCACAGTGCCCATCTGCACACACAGCACTGGTGCTTTCTACAGTTTTCTGACCCCACTGAAAGGTCAGCATCAGATTTCTCGGCACACAATGTTTGCTCTTCATCATCTAGAGGCTTCCTCACTGCTAACTCTCAACTAGCTTTATTCTCTAAATAACACCTCTACTTTGTCTAAATTCTCTTCTGCTTCATTCCTGAGCACTCTCTATGAATCAAATTTCACAATATCTTACAGATATCCTACCACGTTCACATGGCTGAACTACCATCTCAAGGTACTAGTCTTTCTGAGTCATTTCCTTCTTTTTTTTGTTTTTTGTTTGTTTTTCGAGACAGGGTTTCTCTGTGTAGCTTTGGAGGCTATCCTGGCACTCGCTCTGTAGACCAGGCTGGCCTTGAACTCACAGAGATCCACCTGCCTCTGCCTCCCCAGTGCTGGGATTAAAGGTGTGCGCCACCAACGCCAGGCCAGTTCCTTTTTTGATGTTGATCTAACCATCTGCTTCTGAGATAGTGACCTATTGTCACTCCCCATCACACACCACCACAGTCTTGAATTTTACCTAACGCTAACCTCTTAGTTAGGGTTACTATTGCTGGGCTGAGACACCATAACCAAAGCGATGTGGGGAGGAAAGGGTTTGTTTGGCTTACACTTCCATATCATTGTTCGTCATTGAAGGAAGTCAGAACACGCACTCAGAAAAATAAATAAATAAATAAATAAAAACAGGAACCTGGAGACAGGAGCTGATACAGAAGCCATGGAAGATGCTACTTCCTGGTCATCCCCCCCACCCATGGTTTGCTCAGCTGTCTTCTGTATAGAACCCAGGACCACCTGCCCAGGGTTGTCCACACTAACAGTGCACTGGGCCCTCCCACACCAGCTGCTAATCAAGGTTCACTCTACTCCACTGACTGCAGCTTGTGTCAAGTTGACATAACACTAGCTAGCACCTCCAGTAAGCATGGAAATCAGTAATGCTCGTTGTGTCCCCAAATGGCTCACTGCAGATATCATTCTTCCTCTGACCTCTGCTTTATGAAAAACTCCTGGATACCCTTTTGTGTTTACCTGAAACCTGGCACTGATCTTCCAAATCCTACAGTTTATCTACCGATGATTTGCTGAACTGTTTGGTTCCCACTGCCTTATCAGAATAAGAGGTTTGTGAGGCAAAAAAAATTCTTTCCTTCCCCTGCTCCTGAGAACTTTGGGTCACCCTGGATTTGAGTCATGATGCAGTCTCTAAGACTGTTGCTTAAGGGAGTCTCAGAATGGAACAAATTTCATCCACTATAAACCAACAACTTCATCTCATCTTCTTACTTTAAGTTCTAAAGCCAAACCCTTCTGCCATCTCCTAAGACCTCTTTAGAGCACAGAGCTGCTAACTTCTCTGCAACATACAATCACTCATCTTCTGGGACAGTAACCCCTTTCCAAAGGAAAGATATGCTAACCAAGCCCTAGTTTGTTTTGTAATCAGACTAGCTTCTATGTAATTACATATACTACAATATAATCATTACATAGCTGAAACCCCTTTAACTTACACAGATAGACCTCTGTAGGTCTTCTGGTTTATCACTGGCACTTGGGCATCAATTGATTGTTTTGTTACTAAGTAATCTATACTTAGGCCTTCGAGTTTGATTTGGCAGGGCCAATCAATTCATTCTCGGCACACTCAATTTTCTCTCTTCTCACCACTATATTTTCTCTATATTTCTCTATATTTTCCTCACTCCCTACTGACCTATTTCTCTCTCTCATGTATGTGTATGTGTGAGGATATGGTATATATGTATGTGATCATGTGTGTGAGTATACATGCATTTGGAGTTAGAGGCAACTGCGGGTATTGGTCCTCAGCTTCCACCTTGTTGACATTCTTTTATTGTTCACTACTCTGTACACAGGTCAGCTGGCACAAGAACTTCCAGAGCTCTATTGTCTCTGCCTCACATATTACCAAAGATGCACAAAGGTCACAGACATACTCTGCTGACAGGCTTTTAGGTGGGTTCTGGCAGTTAAAACACAGGATATGGTGTTGTACAGAAAACACTTTACCCACTAAGGAATCTCCACAGTCATTTTCTTTTTGAGACATGATTTTCTCTGTAGCCCATAACAGCCATGCATTTCTGAACCTCTTAACTCAACCTCCTGAATGCAGGGATTATATCCATGAGTCACTGTGACCTACTCTTTAGCTTAATTCTTTTAATGAGCTACAATTAAACATATTATATATGCATATGTATATATACATATATATAATTACTATTATTATTCCTAATACTACTCCTTTTCTCCATCTGAAGTGTGGTTCTTCTACAAAGTTTAGACAGCTAAGGGTTTCTTTTTTCTTTTAATTTATTTTTTATATATTTGAATTACAAACAAGATTGAATTACACGACCATCCCAGTTCCCTTCTCTCTCCCTTCCTCCTCTACCACCCCCCAACTAAAATCCTACCTATCATATGTCCTTTCTTCTAATCTACACCTGACTCAAAATTTCGGCTCACTCATGACCTCTACATCCTTCCTTTTCTTCCCTTCTCACTCTCATAGCTTCCTAACCCTTCTTCCCATGCTCTCAATTTGCTCAGATAGTGACCATTTCCCCTTCTCCAGGGGACAAAGTTTGTCTCTTTTAGGGTCTTCCTTGTTTATTAGCTTCTCTGGCAGTGTGGATTGTAGGCTGGTAATTCCTTAATCTGTGTCTAAAATCCACATATGAGTGAGTACATATCATGTTTGTCTTTTTGTGACTGGGTTACCTTGCTCAGAATGGTTTCTTCTAGTTCCATCCATTTTCCTGCAAATTTCAAGATCCCATTGTTTTTTCTGCTGAGTAGTGCTCCATTGTGTAAATGTACCACATATTTATTTATTGTCACCTCTATTTGCTAACCTCTAATGGTCACCTTTCTTGCTACATTTTCTCTGCCTTACCTATGCAAATTGCCCTCACAGTTACACTTTTGGTCAGGAATTACCTCTCAAATTACAGTCTATAAAATGAACTTCCAGTTCCATTTCCCTGCATATAGATCAAAAGTTGAAACTATTATGCTCCCAAATTCAAGCAGAGCATACTTTTTGTGTTGTGTATAAAGTCATTGAAACCACTCTTCATCCTGCCAGCTCAGCTAATAAACCCTGAATTCCTCTCTTTGTCCCATCTCTTTGCACCGTGGAATGCTTTCCTTCTCTGGGCTCTCCTCTCTACCAGTGTACTTAAAGTCAGACATTGTAAGCTATGAGCAAACTTTGGCAATAACTCCTTGTTTCTACCGCACTCTAATTTACAAAAAAGAGAGAGAAGCCATTAAGCTAGGAT